GTGGGCTCCGTGACTGTGACGGAAGGACAGATCCTCACCATCGATGGAAGCACCGGAGAAGTGATGGTGGGAGAGGTCCCCACAGTGCCTTGAGGGAATAGCGAGTGATTGAGTGATTTCTCCTCCCATGAGGTGTCTGAGGTCTTTATACGTACAGTCGACGGATGTCTTGCTCCATCTCAATGGCTTGCCCTGACATAGAATGGGTCTTCTTTCCTGTTGGAGGTGGGGTGGTTGTAACGATTCGAAGTTGTGTTGGCTCAGGTGCCACCGCAACTCTCCGGATCTTTCGGAACCATCATGCAGTGGGCCGATGAATTCCGCGACATGAAAGTCCTGGCCTAAGCACAACGGCAGACACCTGGACTCACACATGACTCACATGACTCACATGACTCGCAAGATGCACGTGGGCGTGCTATGGCGTGCTAATCGTGATTGATGTCCAGCACGGTTGCTGTTGCATGCTGTTGCTGTCTGTGATGAGATGCGATGGCATGCTTGCAAGGATCGGGGGATGCATAGGTGTGGTCATCTGTGGATTGGAATCTGAGGTCCGGGCCAACGCTGAGACCCCTGCTGATGCTCGACAAGCCAAGGAATTCGGTGCGGAGGGCATTGGTCTCGTCCGCACCGAGCACATGTTCTTCGAAGGGCAGCGGATTGTGGCCATGAGGCAGATGATCTTAGCTACAGACGAGGCTGGTCGACGCGAGGCCTTGGACAAGTTGTTGGTCATGCAGAGGGACGACATCACGGAACCTCGATGCCTTAAGCCTTAAGCACTTTTCAGATTGCCCCCTTCCTTTTTCCGGTGGGCGTGCCCAAAAACATCTAGCACAAGCGTGTTGGCTTGTGTTGGCTTGTTGAGTGCAAGTGTAAGTTAAGGAGCTGTTCCGGATTATGGACGGCAATCCGGTGACCGTACGTCTGTTGGATCCGCCACTGCACGAGTTCATCCCTCACACGGAAGCAGAGATGGCACTAGTCGCCAAAGCTGCAGGTGTGCCTTTGGATCGAGTGCGGAGACGTGCTGCTGAGCTACAGGAGGCCAACCCGATGCTCGGCCATCGTGGCTGTCGACTGGCTATCACATATCCCGAAATCTGCGAGATGCAGGCGCGAGCCATCTTCGAAGCTGCGGCTGAAGTGGGGCGAAGCTCCAAGAAGCAGCCGGTGGCTGAAGTCATGGTGCCCCTGGTTGCAACCGTTGAAGAGCTGAAGTTGTTAAAGAATGTGATCGAGAAGACTGCCGATGCGGTGAAGAAAGAGCAAGGAGTTGCCTTCAGCTACAAGGTGGGTACCATGATTGAGCTGCCGCGAGCTGCTTTGCAAGCGGGCAAGTTGGCAGAAATGGCTGAGTTCTTCAGCTTTGGGACGAACGATCTGACCCAAACGACGTATGGCTTGAGCCGCGATGATGCTGGCTCCTTCCTGCCCGAGTACAAGGCCAAGGGAATTGTCGAGCATGATCCTTTCGTCAGCTTGGACCCAGAAGGCGTTGGCGAGTTGATCACCATGGCCGTCGAGCGAGGTCGTAAGACCAGGCCGCACATGAAGATGGGCATTTGCGGCGAGCACGGTGGAGATCCTGCCTCCATTGAGGTGTGCGAGAGGATTGGCCTTGACTACGTGAGTTGCTCCCCATTCAGAGTTCCTGTTGCCCGGCTTGCTGCGGCTCAGTCTGCTTTGAAGACAAAGGGTGAGCAGGCAAAGCAGAGCTCCACAAAGGCAACCAAGCCTCGGGTGCA